CTGGCAGGCCTTAAATATGTCTGATTTGTTTTCTTTCTTCCAGTAATAGTTCAGGCAATGTTTATGTTATTTCATTATTTGCAGATTCTGGATTTGAAAAATTTCCCAATTTCCAGAATGTATTTATAACCTCAAAAATCAATGCTCACTGTACATCCTCTGTCATCTACATGTGCTGGGCAGCGGACATGTGAGGGGCATGGTGCACACTTTCTCAGCTGAGATCATACAAGGCAGCCTTTCATTTTTTTTATTCACCTTTCATACAGAAAAATGTCTTTTACATGACCTCATTAGTACCATGTTTTTCACATGTTGATGCTTTTTGCTGATGGTTTTTCTATTTAAAATATCCCCCAAACAGTGCTGAAATGTCGTTTAGTGTTCCTAGTTACAAGAGGGCTGTATGTGCTTTATAGATAAAGTACATCTATTAGACAAGCGTCACTCAGGCATGAGTCATAATGCTATTGGCCATGAGTTCAATGTTAATGAGTTAACAATACTAAATATTAGATACGGTGTCTTCAGAAAGAAACTTACATAAAATAAGATTATGTGATGATTGGTCGATGAAACTGTTATAACCAGAGGCTCATAGCAACCTAACCCTGTATTTCTCTTAGGAGCAATGGTTCAGTCTTTGCTAATTCAGTGTATACAATGACTTATAGAACATGACTACAACAAATAATAAGAATTGATTGCACCATTCTTAGTAATTAACATTTAGTAATCAACCTTTTCTTGTGGAGCCCAGAGTGATGTAGAGGTAATGTGGATCAGATTGCATTGCAGGTTCTTATGATACTTTCTGTACCTCCCAATAAATACCTTTTGGCATCATGATATGGAATGATTGGGCATTTCAAGGCCAGCTTCTAAGAGTAAGCCTTGATCAATATTTTACATATTGTATCTCAGTTTTGCCCCATGCCCATTACCTCAGCCATTAACTATTCAAACTCTGTAACAAGCAGTGGAATATCACTTGCAAAGATGAGATGAATATGTGATTTTTGACTGTGAAATGTCCATGTCCCCAAGGATCTCATCAGGTGCTCAGTTTGGCTCTTGTTATGCAGCAGCCAAACTGTAGAGGAAAAAGACTGTCTCTAACATTAGTGTCTCCACTTTTATCCTCTCATCTTGAATCAAGACCTACCTAGCCAATGTCGTAGAAGAACTGTGGATAAGAGGAAATGAGTAATGTTAACAAAAAGAATCATACACAAAAATAAACTCAAAATGGATAAAGACTTAAATGTAAGATAGGAAACCATAAAATCTTAGAAGAAGCCATAGGCACCAAAATAGCAGACATTTGTTGTAGCAATATCTTTACCAATACAGCTCCTGGGGCAATGGGAACTAAGGAGAAAATAAACAAATAAAACAAATAAAACAAATAAACAAATAAAAAGCATCTGCACAGCAAAAGAAATCATCAACAAAACAACAAGAAAGCCCACTGCATGGGAGAACATATTTGCCAATGTTATCTCCGATAAGGGTTTAATCCCCAACATTTACAGGGAACTCATACAACTGAACAAAAGGAAGATAAACAATCCAATCAAAAAATGGGCCAAGTACCTAAATAGACACTTTTCGAAAGAGGATATACAGAAGGCCAAGAGACATATGAAAACATGCTCAAAGTCACTAATCATCTGAGAGATGCAAATCAAAACAACAATGATGTACCATCTCACACCTGTCAGAATGGCTATCATCAACAAATCAACAAGTGACAAGTGCTGGAGAGGATGCAGAGAAAAAGGAGTTTCCTCAAAAAATTAAAAATGGAACTCCTATTTGACTCAGTGATCCCACTTCTAGGAATATATCCCAAGAAACTAGAAACACCAATCAGAAAGGATATATGCACCCCTATGTTCACAGCAGCACAATTTACCATAGCTAAGATTTGGAAACAGCTTAAGTGCCCATCAGCAGATGAGTGGATTAGAAAACTGGTACATCTACATAATGGAATACTATGCTGCTGTACAAAAGAAGGAATTCTTATCATTTGCAACACCATGGATGGAACTGGAGAGCATTATGCTAAGCGAAATAAGCCAGTCAGAGAAAAATAAATATCACATGATTTCACTCATTTGTGGAATATAAAGAGCATCATAAACTGATGAACAAAAATAGATACAGAGACAAAGAAGCATTGAACAGACCATCAAACCTCAGAGGGAAGGCAGGGGAGGGCTGGGGGGGTGGTAAGAGATCAACCAAAGAACTTGTATGCATGCATATAAGCATAACCAATGGACACAGACACTGGGGGGATGAGGGCATGTGCCAGAGGGTGAGGGCATGTGCCAGAGGGTGAGGGCATATGCCGGGGCGGGGGGGTAGGGGAGGTAAATTGGGGGAAAAGGAGACAAATGTACTATATGAAAATAAAATCTTGATATGTTAAAAAAGGAAGTGCTATCAAAAGAAGGAAATAAAGAGATACAAATTAACACAAAGTGAATTTAGACCAGTGTACCTTAATACAGATATCACTAAAGCTGAATCCAATTCTCATTGAAAAAAACCCTTTTAAAATTGCTTCAACACTATGCAAACAAACAGAGAGACCTCTACCTCTAACCCTGCTGAAGATTCCTCCTACCCAACTCATTATATTCTGTTGTGGGCATAGAAGGCTATTTTAACTATGAAAGTTACAAAACGAAGAAGTATTTGAGATCTGCCTGGACACCACACACACACACACACACACACACACACACACACACACACACTACACCAAGGGCAGTGGATTTAGAGGAAAGAGCTCTAAACTAGGAATAAAGGACTAGGTTCTAATTATCTGTAGATGGCAAACTGCTGGCTTTGTAGGACACCTACAGATGAGCCTGAAAGCCTGCACCTTATTGCTTCTACCTGTTATGGGTTTAGGGGCAAGTCCAGGTAAACTTATTTTTTGTGGTCTCCCACCTCAACACACCAGCTGTGAGAAACAATGCTGTGTCAGGCTAAGAATTACAAGACAGGAAGCAGATTTCCATATCTCCGTCTCCAAATCACATCATTTAGAGGACATTTATGTCCTTTGGAGTCATTCATTGAGAAGAGCCAGCTACCTCTATGACAAACATCACAGCAAGAGACCAAATTCAATGGTTATATCCAGTTTTGCCTCAATCATTGTTTCGGCCTGCTTTGCCTAAAAAGTAATGCACAGCAATTTTTTTATCTGGAGATGGATGTGAGCCTAGAATTCAGGTATAGTCCTAGATGATTTACAGATAGGATGAATGGTTTACATTACCCGTAATGCCATGTACACATGTGTCTGCTTTGAAGGTCAAGTGCTCACTTGACAGTGTGCTTTGGCAACAGAACTTTCTGAGATAAAAAATGTTTATAGATGTGGTCACATTTCTCACCTATCAGCCATAGTAGTAAATTCAAGGCTCAAAAGATGTATTCATTAGGGAATTGTATAGAATATGATGTGAATGTCAAAATAGACACCAGTAAAAATCATTTTTACGTCTACAACTCTATAGTGAAGGCAATCTCAAAGTTCAGTTATTTCCAAAAAAAAAAGCTTCACTGGAAAACACAGTATTACAACAAATAGGGGAAGGATTGTTATTGCACTATAAAGAGAACACTAGTATTGCTTTTCCAAATATGTGGAAATCCTGTTTAATTGGAGCTATTATTGCACTGAGAATAAATAACACATTGACTTCAAGGGAGTTTTAGTTGGCAGTATTATATAATTTGTACAATGTACATCCACTATAGGAATAAAATAAGCTTTTTACAATTGCATACTGAAAGTATAAGTTCTGTAAAACCTGAAAATAATAATAATAATATAATTTAATATAGCTAGATAAACGTTTTGTTCACCAGAACTAAATAGCTTAGAGAAAAATAATTTTCACTGAAATACAACACATTCATCATCTCTTTCCCTAGCCTATTTTTTTTTGCATTTTTCCTCATTTACTCAGTAGTCCACTATTTCATCATTTCTAATTACTAAGAACCAAACGTAGAAATATCTTCGCATTATCCACTATGGTCCATCTTTGGGATTTGATGTCACCCCATCATAGGTTCTGTAATCCTTGGGAAGATGGCCTTTAAAAAGAAACAAGGTTCTAAATAAGATGGTACTAACATCTCTTGAAGATTACATACTTGCAAACAACTATTTAATATATTATTTTCAACAATTACTATGAAGGGGTTGGGGGAGGTATCACATTTTGTTTCCAACAAAAAACACCTCAAGCTATATGAGATTTTCCCCATCAGAATCATTACTCAACAAATACTGTTGCATATTGCGTGCAAACATTACTCTGTATTAGGTAATGTGGAGGATGTAAAGGTAATACACAACTGGACCTGACATCATTCTGGGGGAAAAGAAGACATATACTTAAAATAGTTATAACGTGTGCACTACAGGGTGAGAGTGTCCTGAGAGTCTGAGTAATCTGTGAGAGAGATGGAATAGGAGGAGGAAAAATTTCCACCTGAGTTAAGGTAGGATGGCCTAGAAAGAAAAAGTTCAGAATATACAAGGGGAATTTGTCTAATGCAATTGAAATATAGACTAGATGAAGGAAAGCAGTGGATTATAAGGGTGGGAAAACAAGTAGACTCCAAATACCAAAAGCCTTAAATATCGACAGAATAGTGTGAACTTTATTTTATAGATGATGAGGAATCACTAAATATTTTTAACAAGATAGAATTTTGATCACAATTATGCTAAATATAGAGTGGACTGAATAAAAAATGCGACTGATGGTCAGATAAAAGTTAGAAGGCTACTGCAGTAAGGCTCAGAGAAGGTAATGAACCCCAGAACTGCAATATGTCACATTTTGATTTCTCTCAAACCAATACTTGGCTACCCTGGAATTTAATAAAAACATATATACACATTAAGATAGAGCCTTTATTTCAACTATAGTCAATAACTCTTTTTTTTTAAATTTCAGATTTTTCATTATTCGTATACTGCTTCATATGTGATTTACAACATACACACTAGGTAAGTTCTTTGATTTTCTGGTTTTCCTGAGAAATTGTCCAAATAAATTACTGGTGTAGATGTCAATTTGTTCATGTAAAAAATATTTACCTTTTTTCAAGGGAAGTTTGGGAGTTAAACCCTCCAGAAGTAGCGGACTCCGTGTTGCAGTATGCGGCCTGGGGTGTCCAAGGGCAGCAGCTGGTAAGCACAGGCACTGGGATGCACAAGTATCATCAGCCGTGGCCCTAGGGCCTAGGGAAATGTTTACAGACCCACTACAGTGGGTTACAGACTATTTTTTTAAAACATTTTTTTATTTTCAATTACAGTTGATACACATCATTTCAAGTGTACTCCCCAGTTACCAGACATTATATAATATGTAATCCTCCCAGTAAATTCCACGCCCACCCAGCACACCTAGTTATTAGAATATTACTGACTATATTCACTATGCTGTACTTTACATCCCCCTGACTATTCTGTAACAACCAATGTACACTTCTTAATCACTTCACATTTTTTGTACATTCCCCTAACCTCCTTCCCCTCTGGCAATCAACACAAAGTTCTCTGTATCTATGAGTCTGTTTCTTTTCTGCTTGTTCTTTTTGTTTGAAGATTCAATTGTTGATAGATATGTATTTATTGCCATTTTATTGTTCATATTTCTATCTTCTTTTCTTCTTCTTACAGAAGAGCCTTTAACATTTTATATAATACTGGTTTGGTGGTAATGAACTTCTTTAGCTTTTTCTAGTCTTGGAAGCTCTTTATTTGTCCTTTGATTCTACTAGTAAATGATAACTTTGCTGGGTAGAATAACCTTGGTTGTAGGTCCTTGCTTTTCATCACTTTGAATATTTCTTGCCACTCCCTTCATGTCTGCAAATTTTCTATTGAGAAATAATCAGACAGTTTTATGGAACTCCCTTGTAGGTAATTAACTGATTTATCTTGTTGTTTATAAGATTCTCTGTTTGTCTTTAACCTTTTGCATTTTAATTATAATGTGCCCTAATGTGAGCATCTTTGGGTTCATCTTGTTTGGAATTCTCTGTGCTTCCTGCACTTGTATGTTTATTCCTTTACCAAGTTAGGGAAGTTTTCTGTCATTATTTTTTTCAATAGGTTTTCAATTTCTTTGCTCTCTCTCTTCTCTTCTGGTGCCCCCATGATGTGAATGTTGATACACATAAATTGTCCCAGGGGCTCCTTACACTATCCTCATTTTTTTTAATTCTTTTTTTTTCTTTTTGTTGTTCTTATTGGGTATTTTTTGCTTCCTTATATTCCTAATTGCTGATCTGATTCTCAGCTTCCTCTACTCTACTGTCAATTCCCCATAAATTAATTTTTATTTTACTTAGTGTATCCTTCATTTCTGACTGGTTCTTTTTTATGCTGTTGGGGCTCTCACTAAGTTCCTTGAGCATCCTTATAATCAGTGTTTTGAACTCTGCATCTTATAGATTGCTTATCTCCATTTTGTTTAGTTATTTTTCTGGATTTTTGTTCTGTTATTTCACCTTGTGTTTCTTTCTATTTATTAGGCAGAGATGTTCCATCTCTCATGTTTGGTAGTGTGATCTAATGTAGTAGGTGTCCTGTAGGGTCCAGTGGCACAGCCTCCCTGATCACCCCAGCTGGGAATTTGAGGTACATCCCCTCTGTGAGCTGTAGTTGAGTTGTAGTTGAGTCTTGATTGCTTTTGGCACATCAGTGGAAGGGATTTACCCAGGCGGATCAACTACAAGGATTGGCTCTGACCACTGATCACCAACCTCCAACCACTGTGGAGGATCAGCTGTGTAGAGACCCACTACACAGAGCAGGACTTAGTTCAGCAGGGCTCTATGCCCTCTGAGTCAACCCTTGAGTGTGTCGCTTGTGGAGGTGATTGGATGGTGGTGCTTCAATGTGATCTGAAGCTGTCCACTGGGTGTGCTAGCTCTGGGGCCTCCCAGGAGGTGCAGGCCAAGGTCCACCATGGTGTGTATTCTGCCGGGGGCCATCTGGAATGAGCTACACAGTCATCTGCAGGTGGTTGTTACATGTGCTGGGCTTGGAGGTGCCCAGGCAAGGCCAAGCTGTGAGCCAAGGCCAGCTGCTACTAGTGCCAGGACTTGGGTGACTTAGTGAGAGGTATGGGCTCACTGAGACCAAATGCTGCTTATTTGAAAGATTTTAGGGAAACCTGAAACATGAGCCAAGATAGGCCATTCCTATTGAAAAGCTACTGGAAACAGCTTGGGTGGGCCTGAAATTTGAGTAGGGCAGGACCTTAGGGAGTCACCAGGGTGGGGCAAAGAGTGTGTGTTAGGTTGATGGAATCTCAGATATGGCACCCATTTGCTGGCTTTGTGGGGGGAGGGCTCATGAAAGGAACAATGGCTTCTGGGAGAAAACTAGTCCTTCAGCTCTTGCCCTGATGACAAACAATTCAGTTCCTCTCATATGCCCCTGATGCTGTCTTATCCTGGAGTTCAGAGCAAGTGAGTCCAAGTAAGTCTGTGTATGAGCCCTTTAAGAAGAACACCTGGACCCCAGCAGCCTTGGCCTCCCTCCTCAATCCATGCTGGATTTTAGTGCCAGAAATTATGGGGACTTCTCTTCCTGGGACTAGAACCCTGGGCTGGGGAGCCCAGTATGGGAGTGGGTCCCCTCACTCCTCAGGGTGGACCTCCACAGCCTTGGTATCCCTGATGGGCACTTGGGCTGTTTCCAGATCTCAGCTATTATAAATAATGCTGCTATGAACATAGGGATACATATATTATTTCTGATTGGTGTTTCAGACTTCTTAGGATATATTTCTAGAAGTAGGATCACTGGGCCAAATGGCAGTTGCATTTTTAACTCCATGCTATTTTCCATAGTGGCTCCACCAGTCTTCATTCCCACCAGCAGTAACCAGGGTTATACATCTGATAGGGGGTTAATTTCCAAAATATGTAAAGAACTCATACAACTTAACAAAAGGAAGTAAAAAAATCTAACTGAAAAATGGACAAAGTGCATAAGTAGACACTTCTCCAAAAAGGACATACAGATGGCCAAGAGACATACGAAAATATGCTCAAAGTCACTAATCACCAGAGAGATGCAAATTAAAACAACAGAGAGGTATCACCTCACACCTGTCAGAATGGCTACCATCAACAAATCAACAAATAGCAAGTGCTTTATAAATGCATTCCATGTGACATGGAAGTATTTTATACATGCCTATTAGACCTCTTAATAATTATATTTTTAATTTTTTTTTTACCAGTGATAGTGGGTATATGATCTTTTTCTTTAGAATCCTATTAGTTTTACATTAAATAATTTGAACTATATGAGGCATGAGTGGCTTTTCATGTTAAATAAATCTTTCAGTAAATTGAGTTTCTTGATACCCTTGTTAATATATTTATTCTATTTACCTTTAACAGTTCTGATTGACCAACCCTAACTCTTACCTTTATTTTTTTATTACTTTTTAATATATTTCTTTATTGATTTCAGAGAGGAAGGAAGAAGGAGAGAGAGATAGAAACATCAATGATGAGAGAGAATCATTGATCAGATGCCTCCTGCACATTCCCTACTGAGGATCGAGCCCTTGGCCGGAATTGAACCTGGGACCCTTCAGTCCGTAGGTTGATGCTCTATCCACTGAGCCAAGCCGGCCAGGGCACTAACTCTTATCTTTAGCAGAGTCTTTTAAAACAAGTTAAAATCTTTTAGATTTTTAAAAATTAGAATGTTGCATAAAGAGCAGCTCGTGAGCTGAGCTATGTTTCTTATTTCCCATAAGTTTCAATTTCCTCATATGTAAAACAGAAATATCTATACCACCATTTCATTAAGATAGTTACTGGATAAATATAAATGTTTCTTTTAATAAGATGAATATTATTGTCTTTTTTATTTTACTTTATAAATCTAAGAAATAATTTCTTAAGCAAAATTGTGAGATAGGGGACTACTAGAAATTTCACATCATAAGAAGGCTGTAGAATAATATACTGTAACTAAAAGATGCTCTTTTCATTAGTAACAACTTCTGGATCCTGAAATACCCAGGAAGTGAATATACCTGGTACAGGGTTTCTTCTAGTAACTGGTCATATGACAGTGGCCAAATCATTTTTCCTCTTTGCACCTCATTTTCATCAGCCGCAAAATGAGGGCATTTGCTTGTGCTTCTTGACTTTATTCTTATTGCATTCTATATAATAAAATTCTAAGCATAAGTTTCTAATTGTCTTAAATGGACATTATATTCATTTAAAAAATTATCAGATTGGGATACAGAAAGGAGAACATGAAGTAGAAAAAAGTTAAGGAGTGATTGCCCTGACAGGTTATCTCTAGATATACGGTTCTAATGTTTTTATTGATTTTAGAGAGAGAGGAAGGGAGAGAGATAGAGAATAGAAACATGGATGAGAGCAAAACATTGATTAGCTGCCTCCTGCATGCTCCCAACCAAGGATAGAGCCTGCAACCTGCGCAGGTGCCCTGACTCGGAATCTAACCTGAGACCTCTTGGTTCATGGGTTAATGCTAAACCACTGAGCACACTGGGTAGCTATATTTTTAATGATAGTTTGCCACTCACAAATGTTTCCTGAGTCAGCTGGAATAGATTAGTATTTTGGAGCAGGAAAAATATTTTTCCACATGCAATAACAGCTTTCATTGTATCTTGGTGAATGTACTCCTCAAACAGAAACTTTTAAATGTAATATTAAAATAAGTAACTAATTATAATATAGAAAAGTATCAACAGTAAAATAAATGGTTATTCCCTAGTTTTTAATCCCCCATTTCCTTTACATGGTTTTATGGATTCAGACTAAAGGGACATTGAGAAATCAAAGGCTTACCAAAACTATTGAGGGAAGTACACACAAAGTTGCCAGACATTATATCTGAAGCTGCTTAAAGATCCTTATAGTTGTGCTTCACAATGAAATCCTATATAACACTGTATGCACAGCCATTCAGATCCACACTAAATGGCTGAATAATCTATACTAATAAAAGGGTAATATGCTAATTAGACCAGACATCTTCTGGACATCCTTCCAGACAAAGCCACAGAGAGGTATCACCTCTGTGATGGGGGCTGAGGCAGAGGCCATTAGGAGCAATCAGGCCAGCAGGTGAGAGCAGTTATGAGCTATCAGGCTGGCAGGGGAAGGCAGTTA